TGGCCAGTAGTAACGCTGGTGGCTGACACAGTGTAACCCACCAGCGAAAAAACATTTTCACTGGCGGCCGTCTTAAGCCAACCACCAGCGAAAATCTTTGCTGGCGGCTGGCTTAAGACGAATTATTGCTGGTGGTCGATAACCGCTAGCGAATATATTGATTTTCACTGGCCTTTGCTTTGTGGCGGCTCCAAATTCCGCCAGTAAAAATCCAAAATGGCCGATACGAAAGATGTTTTCGTAGTAGTGTCTGCCAATTCGACACCTCATTGTAGCCACATCGCGCACCCAATTCTGTCCACTGGAACCATCTTGCTCACTATAAAGATGTCGGGTCTGGCCATTAGGCTGAATCTAGCCACCACAGTTGCCGTCGGCATCGCTAATGAGCACACACCATCTTCTCTTCTCACTACAATCGCCTCGCTCACCTGAAGGGCACTAAATATGGCCACTAGGTTAGATCCACCCTCTCCAGATGCTATCTATACCACCTCTAAACCAAGAACACCTTTGCCTACTACGTTAGGAAAAAGAATCCACCACCGTCGTCGCACCATTGTCACCTTGGACCACCTCCTCTGTAGAGGTGCCACAGTAGTGCGCCCAACCTATCCTAGAATCTAGCCTGAGGGATGCCAAATCTATCCGGCGTCCGATCTACCCACCCACCGTCGTCACCGGTGTCAAGGAAAACCATCATCACCGCACTGCGGCCTTCCATTGTCGCCATGGCGTCCATCTCCCAAGGATTTGGCCAAGAAGCCTACCAAATCCATGGCATAGGGGCCTGTAATCGTCGGTGCAATCACCTCCATCATTGATGCATCCTCCAAGGGGCGTGCGGCAATGCCGCTAATGAACCAACCAGTCACCGACTGTACTCCTGCCTTCGCATGCCTGGTCCATGCATGGCGCCACTACGATTCTCCTAGCTAGCTAGCGTGTCGCTGACGAGCCAACCAGCCCCCTCTTCCCAATCTTGCCGCCAACCATGCTTGCTGCTAGGTTCCCGTGTGGCTGCTAGGACGACAGCGGCGGAGCTATAGCTATTGTTCTTGCATGGTTGAGTTCACCCACAAAGTAATCTTAAAAAGCTATTTCCTCCATCTCATTTCACTTGTTACCATTAACCAAATACTATTTTTACTTGGACTATTAAAACTTTTAAATTATTGTGTTTTGTTGAATGAAATTGTATGGTTATGTTTAATATGCAAAATGCTTCAATAAAATATCGTTTAAATATTTATGAATTTACTGCTAAAATAGGAGTGCTCCATGTTTAATTAGAGATGTGAATAGTGTCTGGAGATCGATATGATCTGTTGATGAGTAGTTTAGAGATGAGAAGATGCGACCGACTAGCAGCTAAGCTATATTTGTAGCCTCGTGCATGCATATCCATGGCCCTACGTGTCTGAGGCCGATGGATCTTTTAGTTTCTCCTTTCTGCACGCGAATAACTGCTTTGGCCCTACGTGTTCTTTTAGTTGCATCATTTCATACAAATTGAGGCTATATTTGGAGTTTACTCTCTCACTTTATTGTATTTCAGCCAGAGATCTGATATATATCTCATTTATACGTGTTTAATTAAGTTGTATCTACGCTTGCCACGTATAAATAAGATCCAGGACAAGCACTTGTGCCAACTTACAGCTTTATATCAATAAAAACAATATGACATAAATTATTTAATTTGATTTGGAGATGGGTATTTCGGACAAAACAAGAATTGCCGAACAATATTTGTTATATATTTGGAGATGGGTTTAATTTGTCTAGGTAAGGGATACTTTGAAACCTAGGATTGAAAAAAAAACATGGATAGAAAAAACACAGGATGACATGAATATAATAGAAATATATGTGCAAAATAAAGCATTGGAAACCATATAAATTTGTAAAAACGACTGTTTGAATGGCGCATAGAAAAAACATAGAAAATTATGTATAATGCCTGGATCCTATGTTTAAAGGATGTAAAAGATGAGCTCGACAGAGTGGATGGGGAATTTCCTATTGTTTCTGCCAACAATTAATGGTAGGAAAATTTCCTGTGGTATTCCAATGACCTATTTATATGAACCAACAAAGACTACAACTGTGACCGAATCCAAAGGAGCTTAAATCCTTTATTTAATTATCCCTTGTTTTAAATTTCCTCTGCAAAGGAGCCCTGAGATGATGAAATTACTGGAGAAAATTTACGACAAATGTAAAATTTTTGCTTTCTAGTAGTAATAACTTGCGAGCTAAGGGAAAGGTACAGGCCAGGATATGTCATGTGTGGCAGTGTCTCACTTTCTGTAAACACCCGGCATGATTAATCACAGCCTGCAAGGCAGAGATTAAGATAATTCAGTAGGCCATCCCCTGTGTGTGCCTGGATAATCTCTTGGGCGATCGAACTCTCATGACTAGCTTGAATTTTCTAACCTGCTTATCAGGGGAATCCTAAGCTGGAAGACGAGCATCCAAGCTAGCTAGCTGGAAGTACTATATGCGTGGTAAAACTAGAATATGGCGTTGTAGTCATTTTGGAACTTTGTAGTACTACGATTTGATCATTTTGGGTTCAAATTTAAAGCTTTGCAATGCTGTAGTTGCAGACTTCCTGTTAAGTTTGATTTGTTTCGTCCTGTAGAATTCTCATGGAATAGTGGCATCTAGGTGGAGTAGTTTTGTTAGTAGTAATAATTAAGCCAAAGAGCCAGGGTACGTACATGCCGGGTATATCCTCTCTGTTTCCGCGAGCCAAAGAGTACTTTAGAGCCTGTTTGGGGAAGCTTTAAATTCTGAGAAGCAGCTGTTTGATAGCCAGCTTCTGATAATCTGGAAAAGCTCTAAAACCCAGCTTCTCCAGCTTCTGATTTCTTAGTTCATTTTTCAGAATCTGTAACTACAGATTCTCAGAAGCTGTGGACTGTTTGGAGCAGCTTCTAGCAGAAGCAGCTTTTGGAAAAAGCTATAGCTGGGACAAGCTCCCCCTTAGTTTGAGCAGATTCATCTAGGGAGCCAAACAGTGTTGTTTTGTCGTGGACAAGTAGAATATGCTTTGTTCCCGAGGATCGATTAAAGGAGAAACATTCTTCTCGGTAATGCACAGCTCCTGTTATCGATCCAGAACTGCCCAATCACCAAATGCCAATGGCCCATGGCACGTACATCATAACAAACTCACTGCTTTAATTTAATCCTAAGAACAGCTAATACTTTAGATTTAAACTAGACTATCCGAATGGAATTTTGGAACTCCTAGGTTACTAGCTGGGCTAGAACAAGCATTACGTGAATAGTAATGTGCATCGTTAGGAGTTTGGACTTCGGAGCAATCATTTATCCTTTTTCTTTCTTTATTTTTCATGGATGCATCAAATTTTGAGTTCATTTTTTTATAGGGTTAAGTATCGAGAGAAAACCCAATTTACCCATATAACTACAATACCGAATGTTTGACATTCCCTAACCCTTGAATCAAAACGAATTACTCCCTAGTAGAATACTCCTCCTAGATGATTTTGGTTCGACATGATACATACTCCCTCCGTCTCAAAAAAAGTCCAATTCTAAAAATGAATCTGGACAAACTCATTTGACTTTTTTTTACGAAGGGAATATGTGGCAACACCTAAGCGCGTAGCAATTGAAAGTAGGCTAGAGAGGAGAGGGAGGGGGAGGGGGGGTTGAATAGGCTAAACCTGAAAGTTTTAAAAACAAATTTCGCAGCGGATTAAATACTTCTTTGAAATCTCCGAACAATTGCTTGGAACACTACTACACTAGGCCTAAGCCAAAGGTTTCACTCAATTCTTCGGAGTTTCCAAAGACAAGGAAACAATCAACTACCACAGGAAATTAACTATCACTAGCAAGTAAATAATTCGTACACATGCATGCTCCCTGTTCTTTTCTCCAACAAAAAATAGATTAAATTTTAGATACTCATGGCATGTTTTTCAAACTGCTAAACGGTGTGTTTCATGTGAAAACTTTCTATATGAAAGTTGTTCTAAAATATAAGATTAATCCATTTTTCAAGTTTATAATACTTAAAACTCAATTAATCACACGTTATTACCACCCCGTTTTACGTAAAACACTTAGACCCTCTTTGTTTAGGCTTAGGTTTATTGGCCTAGACTTTTAAGTAAGCTTATTGGCTTATATGATTTATAAGCCAGTGGATTTAATGTCCTAAGTTTAGTGGTGGAGTCATACATCTATCTCATATAAACCAAAAAAGTTTCTCCAACCTAGCTTTTGGCTTAATAGTGTTAGAGTGGCTTATGGCTTCAAAAAAGCCAAATGAAAAGGCTGTTTGTTTGTTTTGGCTTAGACTTTTTGACTTATAAGTTGGCTTATAACCCTAAACAAAGAGGGCTTAAATCTTCATCTTTATCTACAGAAGATTCAAACACCATAAGTGTTTATAGCTGGGCGTGCCATGTCAGCAGGCACATCGTGCCGAGGAAGAGGCCCAAGGACGACCCAACGGTCAGGTCAGGTCGGGCCAGGCCGTCGGGCTGCAGTCCACAGATAAATCACAGCCTACTACCGTACGTAAAACAAACAGCGGCCCAGAAAATGTTCGTCCTAGTTGAACGAATTTAGCCCCTTTCGGTTTCCATGGTCCATGGGTATACTGGGGCACATACGGTGCGTTTCATTAGCAAATATGGTGCTAGCTGCGACCTACTCCCACCGTATTTTAAGATACGATGCCGTTGACTTTTTGACCAACGTTTAATCATTCGTCTTATTCAATTCTTTTGTGCAAATATAAAAAAAATTATGTCATACTTATAAAACATTTGATGATAAATCAAGTCACAATAAAATAATAATAATTACATAAATCTTTTGAATAAAACGAATGGTCAAACGTTAGTCAAAAAGTCAACGGCGTCATACATTAAAATATAGAGGAAGTATTTTGTAAATAAGGCCCACCATAGGCTACAGTGAGTTCGGCCCATAGATAAGGCTTGATTGAATTTAGCCCACGATCACTTAATTGTTTAGAACAGTTCAGCCCACCAAAATACAGTAATTAGATGGAAATAGGGAAAGCAACCATAAACATCTTGGCCCGTAATGAAAGCAGCCCATCATATAGAAACGGCCCACTCAAAATACTATGCACGATTGCACGAAGCAGTTTGAAGCTCATCGTAGACATGTTCTGCTTGAAGCAACTGCAGCTTCTGCTTGCCCATAATCTACCTTTGTAGCCATGTAGGAGAGTTGATGGAAGGCACCTTATGTTTCTCAAGTTATTCTCATTTTCTGCTTGTACATAAGCTGCTTCTTCATAATTGTATGGTTTGGGTACCAAAAGGGGTAGTTCATGTACATGTGTGAGTTTTTTTTACTGTGCCACATCATTTATACATTTGGATGCTACTATTATACTTTCTAGAGGATTAGTTTTCGAGTGTATTTATATTTTGTCATAGATCCGTTCAATTCAAGCTCAACTAACAACCTTTGAACAGTGGCAATACACATTGTAAAACTGCTCATAGAGTTGAGCAAACTTTTAAAAAAAATCACTTTGATGAAACAGAGCCACCCTATGCTGTACTTCTTTTGTACAACCTTTTCGGCTATTGAATTGGATGAACAATTGACACTGGTATTCGGTAATCTATTAGATCGGGATTCAGTCACACCCATCTAGCACAAAACATTCTAAACCATTTGCAACCACACTATCTACCATTTTGTATACTCTCCAATATATATACTACATATTCCTTTTTTAATCGATGACGCTATTAATTTTTTGGACCATTCGTCTTATTTGAAAATTTTACGTAATTATAATTTATTATGTTGTGAGTTGTTTTATCACACATATTTTAAGGTTTTGAATAAGACGAATGGTTAAACATGTGTTGAAATCATCTATTAAAAAATGGAGGAGAATATAATAAATCGACTATAGAGAGAGGGTTACATGGGCGGCGCGCTGGTCTTGGCGTCGCCGTCCTCCACCTTGCCGGCGACGGCGTCGGCGGCGAGCGCCTTGGCCGTGTCGTAGGACGCGTGCAGGCCGACGAAGAGGTAGTAGACGAGCAGCGCCGCCGTCCATATCCCGAACCGCATGAACGACTTGGAGTCGATGGAGCCCAGCAGGAAGACGTTGATGGCGATGGACGCCGACGGCAGCCACGGCACCATGGGCACCCCCCACAGCTTCGGCGCCCTCGCCTGCGGCACCAGCGCCCACAGGCTCGCCGTCGCCGCCAGCCACGCCGGCACCGTCACCGCGTACGGCACCCACCCTCCCCGGTCCAGCCCCCAGCACGTCGCCGTCGCCACCGACGACGCCAGGATGGCGGCGATGCACGCGGCCAGCCTGTTGCGGTCGGCGCGCGACGTCTCCCCGGACACGTAGTAGCGGCGGACGAGGAGCGCGACGGCGACGAGCATGAAGATGAAGAGCGTGGAGATGGAGAGGAGGTTGGAGAGGACGTTGAGGTCGGTGAAGAAGGCGATGACGGCGGTGGCGAGGAGCATGGCCACCGTGGCGTTCACCGGCGTCCCCGTCCCCGGGTGCACCCGCGCCAGCCACGGCGGCATCATGTGCGTGCGGGCGATGTGGGTGAGGTAGCGCGCCTGGCCGACGGCGCTGACGAGCAGCACGGTGGTCATCCCCTTGAGCGCGCCGAACGCGACGACGTACTTGGCCCAGCCCATGCCACGGTCGGCGAACGCGACTGAGAAGGGCGCGTCCGGGTCGATCTCCCCGTACGGCACCATGAGGCAGAGGGTGACGGCGAGGGCGCAGTAGAGCGCGGTGGTGAGCGCCATGGCGCCGACGAGGCCCACGGGGATGTCGCGGGCGGGGTCCCTGGTCTCCTCGGCCATGGTGCTGACGGCGTCGAAGCCGATGTAGGCGAAGAAGAGCACCGCCGAGGCGGCGAAGACGCCGCGGGGGCCGTAGGGCATGAAGTCGCGGGTGAGGTTGGCGGCGTCGGCCTTGGTGAGGCCCGCGACGATGATGAAGGCGATGACGGCGACGTGGAGGACGGAGAGGACGTAGTTGAAGCGGGAGGAGGCCTTGGTGCTGAGGACGGAGAGGAGGCAGATGATGGCGATGACGGCGACGGCGATGGGGTCGAGGCGGGAGTAGTCGGCGGCGAGGGAGGCGGCGTGGATGCGGAAGTCGTTGGGGTGGTGGTTGAGGAGGGTGGCGAAGTAGGAGGTCCACGCGCGCGCCACCGCCGCGCCGCCGATGCAGTACTCGAGGAGGATGTTGCCCGCCGCCACGAACGCCATGAAGTCGCCCAGCTCCACCCGGAGGTACGCGAACGACCCGCCTGCACGTACGCATCCGTCGATTCATCCATGCATCCATGGCCAATGCATGTACTAGTTTAGAGTAAATGTACTGGCGGTCCTTAAATTTGTAGGAGGTGTGTCATTTAGATCCATATACTCTCAAAATGCATATTTAATTCCAAGGATTTGTCATAGTGTGTTATCTATGTCTCAAATCGCCACAACTCCTTCAGGATCCTGCGTGGCGTTGATGTAGCATGCCATACATATATACGTGGCATTATTTTAACTGACAAATGGAACCCATTTAAATTTTTTCTTTTTTCTTTTTTTCTTCTCTTTTTCCCCTTTCTTCTCCTTTCTCTGTGACCCGTGAAAAAAAAGAAGAATAAGAAGAAAACGAAAAAGAAAAGAAGAAAAAAAAGAAAATGACATGTCACGTCCATATGGCATTGCCACATCAACGTCACATAGGATCGTAGAGGGGATGTGTCAATTTGGGATCTAAATGATACACTTTGATAAGTTATGGGACCTAAATATATATTTTAAGAGTTTATGGGTGTATATGACACAATCCTATAAGTTTAAGGACCGTCAATGCACTTTACTCTTTTACTCTTTTATGTATATATGCCCCGTTTCAAATTGATTAGTTTCATGTTTGCATCATTGCATGTAGCTGATTCATTTTTTTTTTTACTGGGTGTGTAGTTGTGTACTAATTCTTCTTCTGTTTCTTTTCTATCTCCATTAAGAAATTGATATTTGAGGGACTGATTCGATATGTTTGAAACGTGAAACAAAAAAAAAATCCATATACACCGATTTTCTCATCTGTCTACCGTGTAATTAACATGTAAGCCTTGTTTAATTGGGAAAAATTTCTGGTTTTGATTGTCACATCGAATATACGGACACACATTTGAAGTATTAAACGTAGCCTAATAATAAAAACAAATTACAGATTCCGCCAGGAAACTACAAGAAGAATTTATTAAGCCTAATTAATTAGTCATTAGCAAATGTTTACTGTAGCACAACATTGTCAAATCATGGCGTAATTAGGCTTAAAATATTCGTCTCACAATTTACACGCAAACTATGTAATTGGTTTTTTTTCCACATTTAATACTCCATGCATATGTCCAAACATTCGATGTGATGAGTGAAAAGTTTTTGTTTTGGAAACTAAACAAGGCCTAATATAGTGTCATAGTATTAAAGCCAAAGTACGGTGGCAGTGAGGGCCTAGTCACCCCACCAACAAGGATTGCAATTTATGTTCGAAAGTTATAAAATTTCAAACTTCCCCCCTTCCCCGCAAGCAAATATCTCACCTGAACTTTTCGGTTTATTCATTTTTCTTTTTTTAATTTGGTCAATATTTATTCAAATTCAGTTATAATTTGGTAAATTTTCAAATAAATTTGTGCAAACAAAAGTTCCAAAATTCCTGAAAATTTTGGTGACACCAAAATTTCATGAAAACACTGCAACCAAGTTCAAAAAAATTATAGAAAAATTCAACTTTTTTATAAACTTTCTTTAATGTTTCTCTGTTCGCGGTGGTTACCAGGTTTATCGTCAAGGTACGGTAACCCCTCCCCTGGTAAGATAAATCCTTCGTGAAACTACACTGTAAAGCACATTCCCTGAGAATGGTCATGTGCTTGTGCAGATAATTAAGTTTCCATCGTTTTGTTTATTCTAGGAATAAACCAAACGGTTTATTTGCAAACGAAAAATAATTTATGAATAAAATTTTTATATGCGTGTCCTTAATGATCTATAAACAAATGCTGAAAAATAAACTTCGATGAAAAAAACCTCAAAATCAAATCTAAATTTAAGGTTGAAAATTCTAATTTTGGCTGATAAGCATAAGTATGAGTGAAATGATGAGGTTTCAACAACAATGTACTAAATAATCATCAAATCTATGCCTCTCTATTTCGACAAACACAGCATCTGGTCAAACGGGCTCATCCAAAAATGAACTATACGCATAGAGTCAGACAAAAGAGCAGAATTTTCCTCTAAAAAGACTTCAGAAAATTTGACCAAATCTCGACAACTTATAATTTATATTTCGTGATACCGACTTGTTGGATATGAAGTGTGAACTATCCCTTCAATATTCAAGGAATATTGACGATGAATGGTCAAATGATCAAATCATAGAGACACAAATCCTTTTTTCCTCTGGCACTAGTAATTTTCAAATGAAAGAACAGTCGGTATCAGGACTGCAAGATTCAAGAATCAATGTGAGTGGGTCTCTGACTAATCCGATCAACTTGACAGTAAAGAAAGCAACACTTGGTTGATTCCACCGTTGACCTATCATTACAAGACGAACAGGTATAAAATAAATAAAATTATACCCCCTTATCATACTGTATTGCAGGTAGTGACATGCTGTATTGCCGTATTGGTACAGTACTATAATATACATAAACAAATGCAGATTGGATCAACTGCCATGTGGTGATAGTCATCCTCAGAACAATAAATGATATTATACTTTCTCTCTATTGGTTAATTTGGCCATTCATATGGACTAAATTGTGCATGCATGCCAAGTTGCCAGCCAGTACCTTGTGTTTCTTCTACTACATCTTTTTTTAGATATTAAAAAAAATCTGCTATTTTGTTCCAAATGCATCGCATTAGAATACTTCCAATTTACATGATCCTCGTTTTCCATGAAGCTAGGCCAGCTGAAATGATGCATATCCTTACTACTCAGTGAAAAAGAACTTTTCAATCAAGTAAATGATGAAAAAACAGAGTACTATGATAGATACTCTTTTCACTGAAAAAAAAATCAAGAGCAATTCAATCTTGAGTAGCCTCCAAGGTTTGAATTTGAATTTTAAATGTTTATATTACGTTTCGAGTTGATTTTAATGTATTTTCATCCAAGTTAATTTTGCAGCTGTGGATCTTAAGTCGCAAAAAACACACATATGGAAGTTTTATTCACATATTATTTGATACCACTAGCTATTAATAAGCATCGTGACTTAAAAAGGTAGTAATAAATACTTGTAGCGCTCGATCATGCAAATTATACGCTTGTGGAGTAGATGGTTTAATATTAATTTGTTTACCTGCGACGGGGATCTCGACGGCGAACTCGGTGTAGCAGAAGACGGAGAGCATGGCGGAGACGCCGGAGACGACGTAGGAGATGACGACGGCGGGGCCGACGGCGTTCCGGGCCTCCTGGCCGGTGAGCACGAAGATCCCGGCGCCGATGACGGCGCCGACGCCGAACCACGCCAGGTCCCACCACGTGAGGTCGCGCTTCATGTCGGCGCCGCTCCGGGCCCGCACCTCGTGCAGCTCCGTCGCGTCCAGCGACCTCGCCGTCAGCCGGTCGGCCAGCCGCGCTCCCGTGCTCCGCAGCGCCCGCCCGTACGCCTCCCAGCTCGAGAACGACTCCTCCGGGAAGAAGTCCTCCTTGCTGCACCCGCACCCTCGCCGCCTCACTCCGCCGCCGCCGCCATCGCCGACCGCCATGGCTAAGCTTGCTCTCCTCGTGGACTCCTTCGAATGAATTTGGCGGCTTTTCCCTTTGTGATGCTAAAGAATGGGGGTGGGAGGCTGGGAGCTAGCCACATCCCACATATATATACTAGATGGAACACCACAAACCCCGTGACAGCAACATGTTTCTACGAGAGTTTTGTATGATAATATATAGTGAGAAATATCGTGAAAATAATTAACTAGACGATATAACCTTATTCGGTTTGCATCTTTGATCGATCATTAGAAAAAGACTATAAATGATTTATGATAATTTACTAGTATGTATATAGATGATAATCTAAAAAGCGAAACTAATATGATACGGAATTTTATGAGAGAAGAAAATGGAAGAAGACAATATAAATTGACCATCTTAAGATAAAACTAATATGAGAAGAAAATAAGAGAAATAATTTGGACCATAAGAGAAATAGTAATACTACACTTAGCCACTTAGGATATGGGAGGTCAAACGACGTGATAATTGCGGCGGTTTTAATTAATACAACTACTACTTAAATAAGAATGGTACTGAAGGAGATTAAGCTGGCAGTGAGATGGCAAAATGAAATGAGGTATCAAAAAATTCAGGAAGAATGCATCTGGAGCAAATCGTATGCATGCATGTTTCACACGAGATGCATACGAAATGAATCATTGTTTATTTCGTACATTTGACTTCTTGTAGTTAAACTTTTCCTCCTTGTACATGGAGAGTGTCCAGATGATATCCATCTCGATTAGCAGAGAATAGTTTAGTGACGTACGGTTCAGTATCGAAGACTCTAATTTTCTTGTTTCAATTAACTTAATTGAGAGACTAATGTAATGTAGCTGTGCTCTTTTGGAAATTCGCATGTAGTGTTTGGGGGAAGATTCTCTCGGAGCTCTACGACTTCGATGATAAGCTGATGTTAATTACTTGTTTTGCAGGGTCTTAAAATGTGCCGGCAAGCAATTTGCCTTGCATGTATACCGCGCAAATTATCTTATCTAGTACTCTCTTTGTTTCTAATGATTGGCACCAATGACTTCTATAAAAATATTAATATCATGTTATTTCGTTGTAATATATTTTTTCTTTAGAAAGGTTTAAATATTCCTTACACTTTAGTATATTTATACTACTTTTTTTATAAGACAAATAATTAAATATTATTTAAAAGTTAACGGTGTTATCTTATTAAAAATTGAAGATAGTACTACCTTCATCCCAACCATGAAAATCCGTGTCCAACGTTTAAACGTCCATCTTATTTGAAAATTTAAAAAAAAATAAAAAAAAATTAGTCACACATGAATTATTGTTTATGTTGTATCATGTAATAACAATAAAAATAGTAATCATAAAAAAATTTTAAAAAACGAACGGTCGAACGTTAGACAAGTAATATAAAACTGCACTTATTTAGGACCGAGGGAGTATTATACAACGAGAATTCAAAACACAAGCAAGCGGGCACGTATAGTAGTATCAGTACTATACGGTGGCGTGCTTAATCAAGTCAACGATCCACGTGGCATTATGATACGATCAAACACGTTGTTTTGCGTGGAATATGTAAAAACAGATTACATCGCGCGCATCATCTGAACATCACACTTACGTTCTTAATTTAATTTAATTGAGTATATATAAACGGGTGATGACTCGTAACTTGTACTCCCTCCGTCTAAAAAAAAGGCAAACCCTAAATTTCCGTGCCAACGTTTGACTCTCCGTCTTATATGAAATTTTTTTATAATTAGTATTTTCATTGTTGTTAGATGATAAAACATGATTAATACTTTATGTATGACTTATCTTTTTAATTTTTTTAAATAAGACGGACGGTCAAACGTTGGGCACGAAAATCAGGGTTTGTCTTTTTTTATGGAGGGAGTAAGCATCAAGCCATCACCCAATGACTAGCACGGGCCCACATGAAGTCAACGCCGCACATGGGAACCCCATCACACTAACTACACACGCCTAAAAACCAAAAAATATAAACATTTAATATATTTTAATAATATAGTTATTTTTTCTAGTCACTCTTTTTTTCTAATTTGATCCATTTTTTTTTAAAAAAAGCAATACTTACGTCACCAAATTAGTTTTATCCAGACTAACATTTATTATATTTTAATAATATATTTGTTTTTATTGAAAATGATACTATATTTTTCTATAAACTTAGTCAAACCTAACTTAAAAAAAATGAAATGACTTATAATATGAAACGAAGATAGTAAAAATAATAATTAAAAAACTATTGCAACAATAGGAATGCGAGAGGAAGGGAAGAGAGGCCACCAATGAATTGGTCAAGAATTTGGGCTTGCTTGGACTCCAGCCTGGTGGTCATGGACTGATTGCATCTTCCATTACCTAAAAATTGCATCTTTCATGGAAAAAAAAAGAAGATTTATTTCTCTTCCAGTTCATCTTCATCAGTTCTGTAACTGCAATTCTGGATGTGTGTATGTGTCAATACACATACACACACATACCTTAAATTTCCAAACCATTTTGAATAGATTATCTATACTTTCACCTGTACTACCATAGAATCATACTATGGGTAGCAGGAATCCAGTGAGGGAGAAAATTATAAGTGTCCACAACTGTTTCATATAAAAAGATTGGACATATTATCTTGCAGAAGAGAACTCTAGTTTGCAACTTTGCTATCAGAATCTAAGACCCAGCTCCTAGTATCGGCAGGTCCCTGACGACTGAAAATACTACTCACTGGGTCACTCAAAAACTATCCCAATTAAATGACAACGAGTTTTCATTAGCCAGATCTTTGATTGCTTGAAGCATTATCATGCTCGAGTCAAAGATTCCTCCTTTGCTGTGTGGTGGCGGTCTGAATATCACATGCCCATTTACATCTCACAATTTCAAATCAGATAGTGATGCCATCTTCAGAAGTAAAATTAAACAGGCAGCTGAATTTCGGCATTGCTGTTAATTGTCTTCTAGTACTTCCTGAACTGCAAAACCTACACAGCAGTCATTGATACTGAACCGTTTGTGCCGAACAATCAAACCATTGGTACAGGGAAACATCATAAGTTACAGATGAAGTCTCTTACAGCTATGAACTGATCATCACTTGTACAGTTGCACTAAACACCAGTCAAAAGAGAACATCAGATCCTCATTTCTTACCTACACATTTTCACTCTCACTAGCACTCAAAGCATCGCAAATGTTCAACCTTAAGGGATTCAGAGACCACTACACTCCACGCATTTTAACCTAAAAGAGCTAGTAGGAACATGGAAGAAGTTAAAAAGCAATTTAACACCGGGCTAAAATTACAAGCGAACCGAGGTTCAGAGGATTCAGGCATCTCCTGCAAGCTGCTTCTTTTGCCTTGATACCTTGGCTTGCAGCTTGTCGAGCTTCGCGCTCATGCTCTTGTGCTGCTCGCTGACTGATCCCTCCTGGGCACTGCACATCTGCGATTTCAGCTTCAGGTTGAACTTCTTGGGGACGCGGGAAGCCCACCCACCGCTCTTGCCACGCCCCAGCTTTTGGATCTCCTGCCTCATGGTTGAGCACTCCTTCTCGAGCTCAGACAAGCGCATCCTCATGTTGTCCATGCCAACCTTGAGGACCTGGTTCTCCCTTACAGCCGTAGCCCATCCCCCGGCCTCGCCTGATGTTGTGATGCTGCTTCGCAGCGGCCTAGATCCCTCGAGGTTGTCGGAGACGAGCAGGCACCCGGCAATTGAGGTTCTTAGCTGGAGTTGCTCAAAGAAGAGGACTTGTACAACAACGCGCAGTGGCAGCCTCTCGTTCTGTGCAGCATGGGTGCATGCTTCCAGGGAGAGCTTCTGGCAGTCCATTAGCCGGCAGAGCTGCTCCCGTTCAGCTTCTGATAGCCAGGAATGTGCCTGTGAGCAACATTAATCCGTAGTATTAAAACAGACGCAAAGGCAGATTGGGGACAAGTCATGCATGCATTATGTGGTTCAATGTTCAGTTCTTTAAGGCAGAACACTATTGGTTGTTGCTGCAAACAAAGATGGAGCACAGCAGTAAAAGATAGTGAAATATTTACCTTCAAATATATATCAATGGCACGATAGAGCCCATCATCCAACGGGCGGGCATACTCAGGCACAGCAGATGCCAGAGCTTGGAATTTTGGAAGTTTCAAATTGATATCTGGTGCGATCTCTGCAAGATAGCCATCAATTAACTTGGCTACAGTAGTGATTGGTGCCAAAGAAGGGGATGCCATGACGTCATCCAAACATGGGGAGGCGGCACCATTAGCCTGGTCCATTGCCAAGAAATGATCAAGAATCCTCTGCACACACTCGACGTTATACAGAGTTTCCATTGTGTATGAGAAATTTGGCAGCAGTAGATCCTCCAGAGTGGCATGGTCCAGTTGCATGCCAATTCGCTTCTCTAAGTTGGAAATGCAAGTGGGGCTGGCTTTTAGAATCATGGCTGTGCGAAGGAGCCCAAGCAAAACTCTTGTAGATGCTAAACCCTTCTGAACAGGCAATAGTCTATCAATCTCCTCAAGTAAGTTCTTCTGTTCCACCTCAGACAGAGTAGCAGTCAGAGGCACTGCTCCCATGCTATGACGCCTATTTAGTCCCGGGAGATACTTTTTAGCATAGTATGTCAAGGATCCAGCAATGATCTCAGGTCGGATCCCACGAGACTCCATGGTAGAAATTAACCTCTTGTACATGTGGAAACTCAATGCTGAAGCATCCTCATACCACCAGTTTGAACTGAAGTTTCTGGGCCTGGCACCTGTGCTGATCCCGTTCCACAGTACACTGCCACCGGGGCTTTGCATAATGCCATGTTCCCTTATTGGCCAACCAAAGAGGTTTGGATCGGTAGTAGCCTTCGATGCTAATGACTCAATGCATCTCTTCACAATTTGAAGGTTTTCAGCATGAGGGAGGAGATCTTCACATGTTTCCAGTGCTTTCAGAGAATCTTTCCAGTTACGAATGATAACTTGGTTAAGGAAAATCTCTGACTGTGAAATCAAGTTGTCCTCAGCTATTTCTTCAGTCATCTGGAGATGCTCAGAGGCACAGCGCAGGTAAACAACATTTTCAGATGAAAGTTCTATTTTCACTCCATAGCAAAACCTTGCTACTAGCTCAAATGACTTTGCACCCCCAGGTATATCATTTAGTATGATCACACATTCGTCTTGGTCTGAAGTCTCCTCTATCAACCGCTCAAGAAAGGCACTTTTTGAAAGTAAAGGGAACTGCAAGAAAATTGTACATGTTAAGAACAGCCAGAGAAAGTCAAATGTATGCAAGTTAAAAAATGCAAGCAACTGGCTGTTGAGAACAGATGCACTTTTTTAAAAAATATCTTCTGCACACTGCCATATACTCCCTCCGTCCCACAATATAAGGGATTTTGAGTTTTTGATTACAATGTTTGACCACTCGTCTTATTCAAATTTTTTTTGCAAATATAAAAAACAAAAAGTTGTGCTTAAAGTACTGTAGATAATAAAGTAAGTCACAAATAAAATAAATAATAATTTTTAAAAAAATTGAATAAGACGAGTGGTCAAACGTTGCAAGCAAAAACTCAAAATCCCTTATATTATGGGACGGAGGGAGTATGTATTTAAAGTGCATGCAAGCAAACTATCAGTGGAAAGCATATATGTGTTGCTTGTAATCTTCACATACATTATTTGCATTTAAATTTTTCTTCTACGAGTGCAAGGCATGCAAGCTACTACCAATATTTTTACGTGTGTGTGTGCGTGTTCTACTAGTTAAAATATATGTTTTCCTTGTATTGTCGACATATATGTATTTAAATTTGCTTCTACATGCATACTTACTATATGTATTACTTGCAATTTTTTTTAACCAACACTATCTGCCCATGTGCATCTGTAGGTGACTAATTGATCCTATGTTAATATATTATTATTTTTGGATCTGATGCTAATCATTCATTTAGTTATTATTTAGGATATAGTGCACTTATTTGCTATCCATTATAAGTTTATAAGGTGTGAGCACTACGCTAGTTCTCCAAAAAAATCTTCGGTTGGAGCAAAAAAGGGGGAGATAATTACAGATTTCCTCATGGGACACTGTTAAGCTATCATTCCTACCATTAGCAGTGCTGACTACTACTTTTATGAGCAAACATAGGGAAAGGCATAATTACCTTATGAAGGTGGAAAGACATGTCTCCAACCTCAACAGTAACATCGCTGGGAAGTCCAGTTGTACAGAACCTAGGAGATTTGCAAGAAGGAAGAAGAGTCATCATCCACAGTGAGTTGAGTCACCAAATTTTACTGAAAAAAATTGAAACGTGCATGCTGCATGGAATGGACTCCTAAAGGTCAAATGTAAATTTCAAAGAAATTTTCAGTGCACATCCTATTTAGAAACAAGTAAAATATTTTCTGAAAGAAAGTACAAGTAAACATGCACCATTGTTGGATAAACCTGACTATCTATTGCATAAAGAAAAAGCCATTCATAATCTTTCTTTAGTCTGTTAATAATGTAATGTTTCATTAGTACTACTATTTGTAATTATTACAATATATTTCTCGCAGGACAAAAACAGTTATGCAGCTAAGAAGCAGTGCATAATTTCTCTTAATCTCTTCTTTCTACTCCATAAAGCTAATGCCCACTAAACACCTAAAGCTCAACATTCAAGCATAGTATTTATTAGCACTCTTAAAACCTACATGCAAGCATGCCACATCAACCCATTAAGCACACAAGCTCAACATGCAAGCATATAGTAATTATGTCTACAATTTATTTCATTATAAAACTAAACATACACATGCTAAATCATCATTCTCGAATCATTTTCATAATATTTCAATCCAAATCATTTCATCATTTCTCCAATATCTAACATATATCCCGCAGCAAAGCGCGGGACATCATTTAGTATTTATTGTCCACAAGACAACATATAACATCAATACATCATGACTGTCTTATCTCTCTTAGAACAGACACATCAGAGTATTTAATACTTAGATTCAACAGGCTGGAAGGAGGCTGATTGAGTTTGAAAATTACAATATTTGATTGGTCCACTGAAAACAAATCCAAACCTGCTCCCATCTAAATAATTACATGATGGTTACAACTCCTCTGTTATGAGGAACAACAGCATCTCACTGCCAACTAATGTGATGTGGATCCACGAAAAGCTTCACGACACCCTCCCCATAAACTAATTGCACAAGCAGTCAACTGCAATTTACTGGAATATTTGTGGATTGAATAAGAATGATTAACCCACCAGCTTCAATGTCCATAATTCATTTAGTGTGTGGGCAATAATGCACCAAATGGGTGATAAAGATGAATTCTCACTTATTTCTCTACGGACTACGGAGAAATATGCAAGATTCAACTCTAGTGTTATATAGGGTATACTGAAAAGTACAACCTGATTTAAGGGGGAAAAACTACATAATTTGATTATTTGAAATTCAAACTTTTTGCAAAACCTCACCTATGAACAACTAATTCAGGTTTCAGCCCAAAACTTTACTTTCTCCCAACAAGTGGAATACTATTAGTTGGACCAGCTTTGCCAAGTGCTAATACAGCATCTTGTAATTGCAATGGACTGAAGAAGAGAACTGAGTACGCAAAAAACGAAACAAATGCAAGAAATGCATCACGAAAAGAGCGCGCATAGAGTGCAGGCGTGCAGCACAGACAAAGTACGAGTTGACTTCTGAAGAGTCACACTTTCAGAAATACTTAGCTCTCTACCCATCCATACCCCCAAAAATATCATGAATCCGCAGCCAAAAAGGAACCTTTTTTTGGCCAAATTTTCACACAATTTGTCTCCCCTCTCAGGTCCCAGATAGCGAAACAACAACAAAGAACGCAGACAAGGGCGAGTCTTTCATGACAACACATCAAAACACAGAGAAAACTAAGGATGAAAAATAAAAGAAGTGAGTAAATTAAAAAAGAAGAAGAAGAAGGCGAGAGCTTTACCATGCCTGCCCTTGCCTTCTGAAAGCATCAGGCTTTGATCCCAGCTTCACCGACGACGCCATCCCGGGCAGAAATCTCTCTGAACCTCAAACGATTCCGCCGCCGCCGCCTAAGTAGGAGATGGCACGCAAGAACACCCCAACCGCAACCGCGCAAGCCCCCAACCACCGCTCCAGAAGCTCAAACCATGGACGCCATCGAAAAGAGCTCTCTCTCTCTCTCTCTCTGCCTCTTCCAAGAACCACAGAGCAGAGAAGAAGCAGGCTCACCAATTCACGGCCCTCTCCTTTCGGCCGGCCACCAACTAATCCAACCACTCCTCCAAACAAACGAAGAACCACTCCAATGGGGGGAATCAAGAAACCGCAAATGCAGGCGGTTTAATGGTGGTGGGGGGATCACACTGACACGGTGGGAGCAGTAGGAGTAGGAGATGAGAGGAGGCCAGCCAAGCCAGCAGCAGGTAGTGGTGGGCTTCTTGAAGAGGGCAGTTTCTATTCTGTCTTCACTCTCTCTCTCTCTCTCTCTTCTTTTGTGTGGGTTTGAGTGTACTAATCAAGCTTTGAACCATGATGCTTTGTTTTCTTCACTTCAGTTCTCGAGGGATTTTGGTCCCAAGTACAGTACAAGACCCAAAATTTAAGTAAATAAAAAAGGGGGGCAGATTTTTTTTTTTTGGAGAGGAGTACCAACTGTACTATGTGAGAAAAGGGGAGAAAAAAAATAAAGATGAGAAGAAAGAAAAAGAATTTTGTCAGTGAGTCAAAGCAGCAAGCTGCCAAACAACAAGAGAAGATGTCAAAAGGAATCCTAAAAGGTCAGATCAACAGATCGTCAAGCTGCTGCTACCATGAATCAGCAAAGGAAAAAGGAGAGACTTCATCTTCCAATTATACAGAAATAATTAAGAGTGATAAAATGGAAAGAAAAGATGAGATTAGGAATCCCTTCAAAAGGAAAAAAGAATAATTAGGATTAGAGGATTGTGAACCGCAGAGTAGACAAGGTAGCGGGCAGCATGGGGTAGTTGGGGCAGGGTGGAGTAATGGAGGGGCATTAAAAGTTCTGGAAATCTGGGGCTGAGTGCACAGAGATTCGCTGATGAGAGAGAGAAAGAGGGTCATGCAGTACAGCCCGGCAGCTTTTGTTTATGCTGGAGTAGTTTAGTGCATCCATTTGCAACAGCTTTGTCCTCTTCATCAAGTTAAAAAAATAATTATAGGTGCGCAGTTTTTATTTCATGTTAAAAAGAGGGTCAAAGAGGTAAATATGGCTTAAGGACGTCCCAGATTTACCCTCCTCCAATTTAAAACGGCGTCGGATTTAAAGAAAATGGAGTATTATTAATGATCATGATATTTAAAATCTGCCACTCGTAGTTAAAATAACTCTTGCTAATAATAATCTCAACCGTTTTATTTCAACATATGAGAGTTATAGAAAATAGTTTTACTCATGGCATGGCACAAGAGTAGACACACTATAGCCAGTTTTTATCCAAGTTCTAACATAGGCCAAAAATATAGGATATCTAATAGCATGGTTGTCTCGGAATCTTCCGTTTTGTCGGTGCCAAAAAATGTAGCATAGCGAAATTCGTTTCTTATGCTCTATTACGAAACTTTTGGCGTAAGCGTATTTTGTCTGGCTTTACGTGTCTATAGGATATGTGGTATTTGTTCATTTATTAAAATTAATAAGAAAATATTATGGAATTCATGGTACTTTGCCCTTGGTATGTATTTAAAACAATTATAGCCTTATTTGCACCATTCAATTTCGGTTGACATCAAGTATTGATATGAATGGTTTGGTATATTTAAAGATAATTTGACCTCATTGGTTGCCTATGGTTTATTAGAAGCCATAACGGCTTATTAGTGATTAAAAAAATATTTTTTTGATAGAACTTTTACATATATACTTTTAGCGACTTAAAAGACAATGCTGAAACAGAAACTACATTAAAAACATCAAAATCAACTTCATAATTAAGTTTTAAAATTCAAATTTTGACGACGACTTATAACCCATAGGATAAACGATAAGACCTATATATTATTTTTACGAACGACTAGTTGTTTTTATTTGCTCAAATTTACAAAAATGAAAGCTACTAAAATTAAATTGGATTTATTGACCGTTCACATACTTTCACATTTTTATCTACATAAAGTTTCGATGGTAAAGTTCAATTTGTAATGGTCATGAACCAAAAATGAGGGAAGAAAATGTCGGCAGCAATACGTCTATAAGAAAAGACCAGCCAAGCCGACAAAGGCAAAAATGTCTTTTTACATGAGTATTAACAGCCTTTTCAAACAAAAATGAGATATTTTCTCCCTATGCCAAGTAGTACGTTGCTTTCTTTCAACATGAACCATCATTACCAAAGTTAATTGTCTGATTGATGGGTGCAGCTAATGCCCATGTGAGTGGCGGGAGATTTGAAGAAGGAACCTGCTACAGTCACAGCCTCGCAGGTGATTCTGACGACATGCATGCGAGCACGTGCTAATCACATCATACGGCACAGGTTCCCTGCTACTACCCCTACTAATCCATACCATCATCGCAGAACTGGAGTACTCCACTTAAAAAACAATACATATGGAGCAGTTGACATTTTTCCCTGCAGTATAAGCATGGAGGGAGAACCAGCCTAGTTGCCTTTATAACCTTTGGGCTCTTTCCCAAATAGAGAAAAATTTAAAGGAATTTTAGACAAATTAAATTAACATTCCCATCGTTTACCCTTCACCTTATAAGTCGAAGCTAAATTTTTTTAAATATTTTAAAGTCAACTAAGGTTTTTTTTAGTTTACTTTTAAGCAACCATGCTTTTAAATTACTGAGAACACACACTTATAAAAGTTTTATTCATAAATTATTTTTTACAAATCATTATGGATTAAAATCAGTATAATCGAAACGATGATCGTGTTATCTCATGACATTCTTGTATTCTAAAGCTGTGTTCGAATTTGATGGTTGGGAAATGGGAACGTTTTCCTCTGGCACGAAAACGGAACAGTTAATTAACGCGTGATTAATTAAGTATTAGAAAAAAACTTAAAAAATAGATCAATATGATTTTTCTAAAGCAACTTTCCTATAAAATTTTTTTATAAAAAATACACCATTTAGCCATTTGAAAAGCGTGCGCGCAGAAAACGACAAATGAGAGTTGGGAACTCTCCATGCCGAACTCCAGCCTAAATAAGCTCTTGTAAGAACTCTGTCAAACCTCTTCTTCCTTCTAATGAAACGGCACGTACATGCATGGACCTCCCAGCGAGTGGATTAAAAAAAAGAAAAAGAAGAGGAAAACATTCGATTCAATTTCACTCCAATGGAGGAAAAGATTCTCACGACATGCAATGCTACCTAAGATCGATGTTAAATACAGTACTAGTGTCATTTTGCTTCCCTCAACTCAAGATGATGCGTTGATCATCGCCATAGATTAGTATTACGTGTCATTAATGATCTCTCTCCGGTGAAGTCTAGAGCAAGCAAATATTCCCTCCTCCCCATAGCCATCGCAAATCGCAACGACGAACAAGCAAAGGTGTCGACATATCTTAAGTTATTTCTATGATGCGATATATATATCCAAAAATAATGATAATTGTTATACTAAGATTAATCATTTTATATATTTTAAGTTGAGTTATTTTGAGAGGCTGGCCTACTTTGGTAAGGAGGGAGAGTATACGTAGCTTAGAGCAAGTTTAATAGTATAGCCTACTACTAGCTCTAATTTATCTATAGCCAATCTAATAGCAAATTTATATAATAGTTGCTTACTATAATATTAATATATAGTCTCACATGTCATACATACATTGTGTCTTGGAGTTCGTACTATAACCTAGCTACATATCTGTAGCTTGCTGCTCTTCTTTCTCTTCCTTTATATCATTAAAATATGGGACTGTCTAAAGATCGTTTGATAGAAAACCCCCTCACAAATCTTGCAAATTTTGGACCATCCGATTGCTTTAAGATTCGTGCAGACAACCAAACCCTAAAAATCCTCTCTCCTCTCTCTCCCGATTCCTCACGCGCCGCCGCTCCTCAGCGCCTCCGCCACCGCCGCCACCCCAGCGCGCCGCCGCCCGACCTCGCCGGCTGGCCGAATGGTGTCAATGGCGCAGGCGAGCCCCCCCCCCCCGGGCGGCCCCCTCCCCCTTCCCTTCCCCCTCCCTCTCCCTCTCCTCTCCTTTGCCTCAAGCCGGCGGCGACGAGCTGTCCGTCGTCTTCCCCGTCGCCGGCGGCGGGGCGCCACCACTGGCCGCCTCCTCCCCACTCTTTCCGCTTTACCCCCGCCTTCCTCCAGCCCCGCGGCTTCAGCGGCGCCGCCGCCGCCTCGCCGCCCGCCTGATCCGCCGCCCACCGCCGGGCTGCCGCCTCCCACGGCCATCCCTTTAAAGCCGGCGAACTCTCCCCTCTTCCCCCTTCCCCTCCCCCCCCACCCCCGCCCCACCCCGGGACCCTAATTCGTCGACTCTCTACTGAAGTTTGGGTTCACCGGCGCCGGAGAAGAAGAGGTGGTCGCCGGAGTTGGAGAAGAATAGCACGAATCGTGAAGCATATCCAGTGATCCAAAATTTGCAAGATTTGAGGTAGGATTTTCTGTCGACAGAGTTTTAACAATTCCGTTAAAATATATTTATAGCTGGCTAATAGCCTTCCAGCTCTTGAAGCTAGCTCGCCAGCAAAAGCTTTGCTTGTGCGTGCAGAGATGCCTTCCGTCCCGAACTCCGGAGCGCGCACGTACGTACGCCATGGTGGTGGTCAGCTCGCTCGATCCGTATCCCGCTCCGTCTTGGACTTGGAACGCTCGAGGCGCGCGACGAACAAGACGCGAGAGAGAGAGAGAGAGAGAGAGAGTCAGCGCGGCCGCGGCCTGGGCGCGCGCGTGATTCGTTGCTTGCCGTTTAGTCCACGGGCGATCGATCGCGCGCTCGCTCTCCCATGCACGCGCACATGGCGCCCGGCCGCCTCGCCGCGCCCGCGCCCGCGCCGGCAAGCCAGGAATCCTGCCTCCCCACTTTCTCAGCCGTCTCGACGGATCATCAGCTATTCAGCTCGATCGTCGATCGGTGCCGTGCGTCGTTGTGTGCGTGGACATGGAGAGGCGAGCTGTCCTTCTTCAGTTCTACGGCAAATTAAATAAAACTCGATCAGCTGGCTCTGCTCCGATCCTTAATTAATTTGAAGACAAGATTTGTTAATTAGGGGTTGAAGTTCGATCTTAATCGGATTAGTTAAGTCGGGTGATTAATACTTGAGTAGTAGAAATTCTATGCAAATTTGTACTGATCGAAGACCAAAACAAGATAAAAGCTATATGAGATTTAAAAAAGGGAGCAAAATCATGTGAATTTCTGATCTTGCATTTTGCTCTGTGATTCATGCACCACCAGACTCTAGCTTCGAGACTAGCAGACTCTCATGAGCTCCGACAATCTCCAACAAATGTCCGCGAGGTTTTGTGGTTAGGGTTGAAGATGGCAGAGTTCATTTTAAAGGAGGCCGTGGTGGCGAAGAACTGGAGGTGGGTGCCATACTTTAACTACTACGATACAAACTTGCAACAAATTTGTTTTTCAATGGTATGGGTGAAAAAATGATTCTTGTTAAGTATGTCTAGGAACAAAATAGATATGCTACCTTGATCAAACTTGTCTAATACTCCAACATCAAGCCAAATGTCATAACCACCAACCGTACAACTTCATAGTCCATCAGATACAATCTTACAAGAATACGCCCAAAGCGGCAGCTGATCATAGCATACGCCAACATCAAGCCAAAATTGCCACCTAATTCGTTTACGAGAGCTAGCTCCGCCGCTTCCAATGTGTGAGGTGTGGTTATGGAAATTTGACATCGGAATATGCTGAGCGGTGTTGTTGTTTTGTCTTTGTTTTAGGGCATTTTTGTTCAATACTATATCAAAATGTTAGTAGTGCCAAAGTGTGACAAGAGTTATATTTGGTTGTGTTTCTTTTGATG